GTTATGTTATGTTGTGTTATGTTATGTTATGTTTAATTATAATTAACGACCAGTTGCAGTAACTAACCAGTTGAAAGAATTAAGTAATTCGAATCTTTTGATATCTTTTACACTTCATGTCATATTCTATGTCTATTAAAACTGACTAACTAAGAACTAATAAAGTTATCGTATCTCTAAAAATATTTCAATATATAACAGTAATCAAACATGTTAAATAATCTGTGAATATTATTACCTAATAATTGAAATTATAATTAAATTAATTATTGAAAAAGACTAATATGGTACTCATTATTGTTAGAAGTTTTAATTTTCAAGCTAAAATGTTTATACAATACGCCGTCATTTCAAATAATTTACTTTATGTTACTGTTATTTCCAGCTCTTCAATACTTTCGTAGGAACGAGGAAATATCAGTATGTATAATATTAAAATTTAAACAAAATATTTGTCGGTCTTGTTTAGATGAGCTTTCATCCTTACTAATATTATAATTCGGAAAGTGAGTTTGTTTGTTTGTTCCGCTTTCACGTCGTAACTATTAAACCGATTGCTTTGAATTTTTGCAGACGTGAAGTTAGAAGTCTGGATTAAATAATAGGGTACTTTTTATCCCGGAAAATTTGATATTCTCGAGTGAAAACGAAATTATTGGTATAGATGGCGCTGTGTGTATTGTATATGTCACATAGGCTACTTTTATCCTTTTGTGACGCGAGCGAAGCGGCGGGTAAAAGCTAGTTTTATATAAATTATGCTATAAGACGTAGGTGTTTCGTTAACAAACAAATGTTAATTTTGTGAGATACTTATTGTTAATCTCCATGTAGTAGTAACATTTGTTAATCTCCATGGAGGTAGGCAGTGGCGCAAATAGTATATAATGTAATGTTATTTATTAACTATGTTAATTATTGTGTTTCAGCTTAGTGACGTAATTGTTTGACTAGGAACTCGACTAGTTTCAAGTCATACTAGATGCTCATATTCATGAGCAGCATTCCGCAACACATGACGCGGCGTTTGTCGCGCTGCTACGTAGCAAATAATTACATGACTAAGCCGAATACCAATAACACATTTAGTTAGTATGTCTCACGAAAGTTATAATATAAATGTATACCTATTATGGAGCATAGGTCACCTAATTTGCAGTAGTAACACACCCAGATATATACAGATATATATACCTACGTACAGTATTGTATATAAGTAAATATTTCTAGTTTACAGTTAAGTAAGTACATAAATTAGATACCTTGTTTGAGGGGGGGAAATCATCCAATGACTAGTCTCGCCCAGGTGAGGCGAGAGGGTGTGTCAGACTCTTACTGACTAAAAACCACCCCGTTCCTACTCCTGCAGTTCGAGCCGGAGCCCCGGCAAACCGTTAAGTCTTCCGCGGCTCCGTATCGGAATCAGCCCAATTGGGTCCCATAGTCCCATATTACTTATTCTTATGGTAAATTATTATTTATTTTAGAAAATACAGGATTATTTATTTATTGTAATGTAAGATTTTTATTATTAAGCTCACCTTCTTGCTCATTATTTATGTTTTATATAGTTTTTGTACGATTACAAGTAGATACCTAGATTGAATACAGAAATAGTTGACAAAGACTGCTTATTGTTAAAGAACAAGTTTATAATATTTTTGCGATGTTATCACTTATGCATTGAAATAATATATGTTTGTTAAACCTTGACTTCGTTATTTATATTTTTTTCCTCCATTATGACAATTTGTCATCACCGCATGTTTCCTTTTTCTTTTTGAACATTAAATCTGACTACAATTCTAATTCCAGATTACTAAGAAACCGATTAATCAAAAATGGAGTCAATTCGGACTTGAATTCGAATCGAATGATTATTTCATTTATATTTAATTCGCTGGAATCGTATTGCTTCCGGTATTAAAGTTGCGTGTCTAATGTCATTCAGTTTCCACGTAATATAATCTAAGGCTTTGACTTTGACTACCAATAAAAAACTGTTGAAGGCAAATCCTCCACAGACGTTGGTCACTGGTGGCCCCCATGGTTTTATATTGTGGCGTCTCACTATATGCATGCATCATAGTAATGTATGGGACACACTTTTAGTACTATGACGAGAATACCAATGTTGTCTATGGTCACCGTTTGACCGTCTATG